CATTTATACTAAGATTCAGTCTGTCCTTACTGCTGCCAACCAGAAACCACCAAAAACTAGAGCGCCCTCAAAAATGCATTAGTTTCCCTACTAAAAAAAAGCAGTTATTCAGCATGATTTTCAGAACACATTTATTCAAGAAAATCAATGTTTGTGTTAAAGCAACAGTGAATATGAGTTTTCTAAAACTGTAAACAACATAACATTGTTTTGTTATGAAGAAAAAAATTATAGTGGGAAATACAATTTCTGGAATATATTAACACTATATGCATATGCATAAGGTCTTGTGTAAAACATGAAAAAGCACTTTGGTGACTCATCCTAAGACTTTGCAGCTTTTTTCTTGTATCTGTCACTGCTTTTTAAAATTGGATAAAGTTTGGGCACTGCACAATGTGCTATGCATTGAAAACAGGAACTTCACAGAGGAGCAACAGGTCGATAAATGTACCCCATGCCTGGAATTCTCTCAGTTTAAATAGTCTGGAGAGCTCTAAGCTACAGCAAAGTTGGAAGACTAAATGAAGTCGCTGTCCACCTAAACTGTGGTGCTGAATGATAGACTAGGCTGCTGTAGTAAGGTATGTTCATGTGTCCATGGCGTTGATATTGTCTTTGAATGCAATTCAAATTGTGAAACATCAGAATAATGATTTTCACCAGCTACACACTGGCCCCGGTAACCTCAGCAGAACTCACACATGCAACAACCCCATTAATGCGCTAGACTAAAGCAACTACACCGTGTTTAACAGCCTAACTCACGAAACAGTGCTTGTACCAGTTTAAAACACAATGATCCCACAGTTCAGACATAACTGACTAAAACTGTCAGGAAAGAGTGCAAACTGAAAGCCCATGTATGCTTAAAGCATCAGGGCTTGGAAAACAGTCGCTGCTACTACTTAACTTCCCTTGTTCCTCAAAATGTGAGCAAAAGCAAATGCTGTTACTGTCTCTGAAGGTGTCTGGAGTTGTCTAACACGTCCAAGCACAAGTCGTGAGTCAGGAGTTGGCTACTATTAGCGTCAACTCTCCAGTGCCCTGCAATGAGGCACAATTGCATGAAACACCTGGAAGCATGTGGCCAAAAGAGGCAGTTTCTGTAAAACTCTGTTACAGCACACACACCGATGACCACAGTGACATACAATAACTCTGCATGCGGGGTGTTCAAAGAAACGTGGAACTTCTTCGGGCAAACACAAGAAACGTACAGAATATAAAAAAGCAGCCCAAACACATCACAACCACAACACAGCACAGCACTACAGCCAAAGGTTGAGCTTAACACTTCTAACCTTCTATTTTATTTTCCATTGGTAAAGTCCACCTCAAAGCCAAAAAATACAGCCCCTTTGTCTTTTTAGGAAATGCAGGTATCATTCACTGGCATCCTGACCCAAAGAAGTCCAACCAAAGCTGCATTTCACTCAAACTGCAGTTTTGCCCCGACAGTCTGGCAGTCAGGCTACTGCATGGTGTAACACGGAGGAATAAAAATAAAAAATAAAAAAAATATTCATAAATCCTTGGTGTAGACTGAATCTCAATCTCAACAGTGCACTCGTCAACAATAGAACAAAGTGAGGGAAGAGAGCGACGTGGGGAGAGAGAGGGGGGAGAGAGAGAGAGAGACCACTCACTACTCTTCTTCCTCTAATAGCCCCCTCCTCCTCCTCTACACTTGTTTCACCTCAAACACATGCACACTTTCCTAGTGTTTCTAGTAGCCTTTGCTATCCCAGCCTGCAGTAAAATGACAAATACCACAGCGAGGAAACGTTGTGCGCACGTGCCGCCGGTAAACAGACGCCCTAATTCCCGCTTGTCGCCTCTTGCGCGCGCCGCGATCCTGCGCATAAAATCGTGCTCCTCTTATTATTATTATTATTACTGTTATTATTATATTTCCCAATAATAATAACAATAATAATAATAATAATAATAATGAGATTTAAGCAGATATAGACGAGTCCGCGCAATACTCCAAATCCGGTCGGGTTTCGCCTTCTCCCAACCCTAACTGCCGTCTCAAACTACAGTTTACCATGTTTACCCAAACACGCCCACTTCTCCGTTCCTGCATTGTGTGTACACGATCTGCCGTTTGTCTTGCCGGTGTAGTCGGGCTCAGAGTCAGTACTGTCAATACGCTCCCTTAAACACTAACAGTCACTAGGTGCTGCTATGCGGGGCTGTAATTTTGTCTGTGCCTAGCGAACCTCTTCCGGCTCGGTTCGTGGGGTCTGAGCTCAGGGACTTTAGTGGGGCGACGACGAGAGTTCTGCATCTCCGACAGCTTTTCTGTCCTGCCCATGGCTCCGTACCTGCAGTGCTGCAGAGAAAAGCGCGCCCCTTCCCCCACTCTGCATTATGACAAATCAAGGCAGGCAGGCAGCTGTGCCATTAGCACATCATAGCACAGTTAGTCTTCCACGGGAGAACAAACTCAGAACGCTGTACAGCACACCGCTGCGTATTCAGACAAAATGCTGCACGTATGGCACGTATGCTAATGGCAGCAGCCTATAGCAGTTCTAGTTAATCAGGCGACTCACCCCCAAGCTGCACAATGAAAAATAAATCTTACCACATTAACGTTTGGAAAGTGGGTAATAAAGCGTGTCTAGTTATTACTGTTTCGCGTATATGCGCAGCACTTCTTGTTTACTCTGTTGCGCTTCACGACACCGGACAAGTGATGAGCGCACATAATTAAACGCTGCCCTACTTCTGAAATAAGTTGCTAAAAGTGTGATGGATTTTTTTTAATGTGATTGTAGAGGAGAACGATGTTAGACAAATGTAAAACATTTCTTAAAAATCTTCACGTTAACCCTCGTGGATGTTAAAGTGCACTTTGCGTCAAAGTCGCTGTCCACACAGACCCCGCAGCTCTTTGTCACACAGGCTTTCGCCAAAAGCATCGACTCAGTCTTGAACACTAATTCATAGCACAACATTTTCTTGGAGTAACCAACAGCGAATGGCACAAACAATCCTTTCATTTTCTGTCCCCGCTCCCTGCCACAGTGAGATACGCACAGAAACGGTCATATATGATTTGGACACATGGAACAACGACCACTAAGGTGTACTGTACATGCTGCATGACACAAATGCTTTGTTCTGCATGAGCTTAATCGCTCTACTAATTTCTAAAAGGAATGATCGATCACTGCATCATGCAAGGAAGCTAAAAAGATGACATCCAACCAAAAACTGAAAATTTCAGTGCACCCAGTGCTCATTTCTTTGTCCTCTTTAAAAATCGACTACAGACAACCACTAAATAAAGACAAGAAAGGGGTTAATTTAAGTAAGGTAATAGGGTGGGCTGTGTTTTCTCTGAGACAGTCAGCTCCTCCTTAACTGGTTCTGTGAATGGGCCAGTGAGGCAGTAGGGTATGAATGGCGGAGGGATTCACTGGTTCTGCCATGTATGGGAGCTGCCAGCTCACTCCCACTCCCTCAAGGGCCGTCTGCATTGCAGCTGTCCTGTGAGCCTGTGCTTCACCATGCCCTACTTTATCCTGTCAATGCTCAACCACTGCAGCAATACGTCTCCCAGCAGACACATGCACAAACAAACATAAATGACTCACATACTCATTACAATCTGGTAAATACTCTTACTGTACAGCAGGTCTTCTGACTCACAGACTGGACTGGACTTTAAACAGAATGAAAATTTGTCATCCCTGCAGCAGTTTTAGTTACATGGTGCTCAAAAGTCCTGTTTGCTGCAAGGAGCTCACACATAGCATTCACAATTGACCATCTTTTGCAAACGCTTATAAAAACAAACCCAAATTTATTATTGAATTCACATTGTTTTTAAGTCTGTGTAGGTTATCAGTCATCCAGGTCATGTAGTCTAAGGAGCTTGAAAAGAAGGCATCTGGACTTTAAGTACATTGCTGTTAAGGTTTAAACAAATAGCCTCATTAGTGGCCAAATTTAATATAGACAAGATGAGACAATGTAGACAGTATTTTGTCACCCAGCTGACCTTAAAATAAAATGTGCCCTGACACATCTGTTGTGGTGTTTAATTTGCATATCAGATAGGCAGACTACAAAGTCAAAGTGGAAATGTTGAACTCCAGTTTTCTTAGCATGACAGACACAGTAAAATCAAAATGGTACTGAGCAGTATGAAGCACAATCAAAAAGGCTATCAAAAAAAACTTTATATATCAATGAATATATAAACATTATGCCAATTACAACAGTAGAGACTTATAATTCATTTTAGTTAAATTTGTATAGCAAAGGCAAACAAACAAACAATAAAATAATCCCTAATCACTCAGGAACTGTAGCTGAGCTACTACAATTTCAAATTACCATACAACTTTATTGCCAGTAAAGTTACGTTTTCAAAACCAGGAACAGTAAGATTCTAAAGATTATGCAATAGCTGAAATAATGATTAAAAGCAGCCAATACGTAGATTTTTGGTGACATTTACCTTCAAAGATCAAATAACCTGCATGTTATTCTCAAGTACAAGCTCTAAAAACACTGTTAATCACACCCTGATTTGATTCCAAGGGGAATATTGATCCAGCATGATACATGTGAAAATAAAACGTTTAAGAACAACCAAAAATATGTCACCTAAAATGCCAATAGCTCTGTGAAAATACCGTATATAACAGTTATGAGTATCTGGATTCAATTTGTGTGAAATCACAATGAATTTCCTGCACAGTTGTTTGGCTCCAGTGAGTTAAAGAAAATAAATGTGTAGGTAGTAAAGAAATTGTTAAAAGCCAAGAAAAAGAAATGATTTGAGCTGCTTGATGAACCATTAATCAAAACTGACAAAATTCTTAAAGTCATAGTGGACGGTGCTCAAATAGAATAAGTAAAAATGGGGAGGGATTATGTAACAAAATGATAGAGTGAAGAAAACAGAAAGCAAAATGTGAAAAGCAACAGATGCAGTCATCATAAACGAGCCAAAGACAATACAAGAGGAAACGTACCATCCAAAGAAAGCCAGTCGTGCTGAGATGATGGCAGTGATGGAAGTGCGCGGGCCTTATACTCAAACACCACTGAATTAGAGATGATCTGGTTACTGACAGCCACCTGTAGCGTCACCAGACCTGTATCATGAGCTGGAGAGGGTGAAAGGAATGAGACATCTGGGCATATAAAATACACAGAGGTGTCACGGTTATGTGACAGATTTGCTTATGAGTTCAACTTTCCATGGGTTTCTTCTCTCAGTGTAAACGAAAATAACACTTAGGGATCATCTTACAATGCAACTGTTGTCATACAGTAAATATCAAAATGAAAGAGAAAACAGCAGAGGTAAACAGTGGCTCACTTAGCATTGTTGAGTTCACTACAAAATTGTAAAATGAATCTCAGTAAAATGAAAAAGTGATATTTTATTCATAAATTAGCCAAAAAGTAAAAAAAACACAGACCATTTGTTTTGTTTGTTTTTTTGGCTCATGAATCATATGATGATACTGCCCCTTCACCAAAGAAATATTATATATATTATATGTATATATGTAAGCTTTCTCCTGTCTTACCTGGGCAGTAACAACGAAGCACCCCTGGCTGGATAAGAGAAGCTGGAACTGAGATCTGGTCAAACAAACAGCTGTAATTTGAGGTGGCCTCTTGCCATGGCCCAGTGATCAGCACCTTAACTCCACCCTGAAAAAACAAGACAAATGGATAAACTCATAACACATTCAAAATCGGCATTCCTGATTACTGAATATCATATATATTGTTATTCTTCCACCTAGAGTGGAAAGATGAGAATGACACCAAGGTAAAGCAAACACAATCCTAACACTAATCTCTGCTGCCACCATGTGGAAAGCTGTCATTTCGCCCTCCCACACCAATTTTCTTAAAAATACATATTAAAAACCCCACACTGAGTTTAAGTATGTTGCTGCCCTCCAGAGGCTGAAGTAGACCATTGCAGCTGACAGAAATAACTAAAGATTAACAGCACAGAGTCATTGGATAATCATGACCTCATGATTTGTGCAAATAAGAAAAGTAAATATTAGTGTGCATATCTTTGGTCAATTCATGAGGATGGATGTTTAATCTATATTAAAAAATTTTTTAACTTACTATTTTAGAAGACAATGTTAGAGGCTAATTTCATGAAAGCTGCATGAAATTAAGTGGGTATTGGTATGTGTATACCCATAATCATGCGATTATGCGATTATGGGTATAAACTTACTTTTACTTACTAGTTTTCAGTACTTTCTGATATATATTTGGAATTTAAGCAGTACAAATGCTTAGTCCTCAACACTAATGCTAATCATACCACTCTGTCTTGCGTGACTGTAATTACTAGGTGATAATGGAAAGCGCTTTCCTATTACCATATTGCCTACTCAATAAAAAAACATATTAAAACATATTTAATCAATCGATTATTATCAGTTATTACATTACTTTTTGCAATCATCCAATCCTTTCTTCATTCACTTCCCTTGGTTTTAGAGATGTGATGTGGCTCTATAAACCTTGATATTTCCTTCTTTAGTAAAAAACAAACAAACAAACAAAAAGCTGACATAATGTCTTAATTCTAATTATGTCAGTTTTATAACAGAAAAACACAGTTGTGGTCAAAGTTTACATACGCTCATCACGGGCATCACGGTAAGTTGAAAATAAAATCAAGAATTGTGTGCATAGGTTTGACTTTATTTCGGATTTTCTCTAATCGACACAGGGTCAGTGGTATACATGCAGGTTTAAATATATACATAAAACTACACTAGTATTTGGTGAAATGTCTCTTGGCAAGTTGCACCCCGACCAGACACTTTTGGTAGTCGTCAAAAAGCTTCTGGCAAGACTATGGCTGCATATTTGACCACTTTTCCTGGCAGAACTGGTAGAGTTCATTTAACCTCCTAAGACCCGAACTCTTTCATGGCATGCATTTTTATTTTTTCTTTGCTATTTAGGTTGATTGGGACCTAAAGAATATAAAAACGAAGAATTACCTGATTTATTTTTTCTTTTTTAGCTAATTTTTATTTTTGAGAAAAATGAGATCCACATATGAGGACATTTGTTCCAAATTTTGATAGAACAGTGGCAGTATAATGTCCTCGTAAGTGGATATCAGGCCCTTGTAGAGAAAAATTAAGTATTTTGGTCTAGACGTCCCAAAATGTGATGTCCACATATGTGGACGCCAGGTCCTAGGAGGTTAAATTGGCTGATTTCCCTAAAAGCACAGACTTAGCTTGCTTTATTCATTCCAAAACCAGTTCTGATGTGTGTTTGGGATCATTGTCCTGTTTCAATCATGTAGCTGTTCAGTTGAGGTGAAGTTGAAGAATTTGGAAGTTGTCTTCCTTCTTGATTATTTTAACGTACCATAGCAAAACAGCCCTAGACTCCTTACACCATACTTAACATTCTGTATAGCGTTCTTATGTATGAAAGCCTCAGTTCTACTCCTCTACCACACCTCTTGTCGCTGTAGGATGCATTGTGATTGCACCCTCTAAATCCACAGTCATGATAAACTTGCTTCACTGTGGACAGTCACACTGACACATGAGCCTTGTTGGTTCCTAGGTTATTCCTGAACATCCTAACAAATTCTAACTTGTGCATAAGTACAATTGTTTAAACTGAAATCTGCAGTTGTTTAGAAATAGGCCACTAAGTATGCTTAAAACCTGGGTCTGTGCAAGGAAACCAACTAATTCAAATGAACTCTACAAATTCCTCCAAGAAAAGTGGTTAAATATCCAGCCAGAATTATGCTTTTTCATGGCAACCAAAAGCATCTGGTGTAAGTACTACTAACTAAGGGACATTTAATTAAATATTAGTGGGTATGTATGTATACCTTTGAAGCTATATGCATATTTTTGACACTTTGTGTTTTAAAACTGCACCAATTCAACCAATTCTTGTTTTTTAAAGTAATTAAGGATGTATGCTGTACAGTCATTCCACCCTGTAAAACTGTTCAAAGAAATAATTAAAAGCTTAAAATTACCACGGCCTTCATGCTCATAATTAATGTATCTAAACTTTTGACCACATCTGTATCGAGTAATTATTTAAATTTAGCCATTTCCAGTCATGTCTGAAACAGCAATAAATCTATGTATTTATAGAGATATCTATCATTCCTTGTTTGCGGATCAGAAAAACTTTAATGTACATTTTCTGATTTTCATATTTCATTTTCATTTTCTTGTGGTAAAATCTACTATTGGGATAGAAATAGGGGATACATTAAAGATGCACGTGAAAGCTGTTATGTGCAATTTATTTATAAAATGTATAAATAAAACAAAGTATTACATAAATTTAATATGATGAAACTGGTTGTCATTCTTTAGTTATATTAACTCCTTTATTAATTCTGCATAGAAAATTCCATTTAGTTTCAGTCACACAGAGCTTAGCTTGTACTATATAATACTGTTTTTTATTATGGGTCACAGAAAAGGTCAGAGTATGTTTTGCTGTTGTTTTTTTGAATATGTTGGAGCAATAACAAATAGACAATAGGACTTTTGTTTTCTATGGGTCTGCATCAGCAAAGACAGCAAAGTCTTTTCTAATATAATGCATGTGAGTGTTTAATTAAAATTTGACAACTTCATTTTTTACTATTGTTACTGTTGTTATATTTGTCGTGTTATCATGTGTGTTGCTTTACAGGTATTCAAATTTCTGACATAAAACCTTTGGTTTGCTATGATTTCACATTAGTTGTTGTGCTGGCCAGATCTTGCTGTGGATAATTCAGATAATTTAGTTTGAAGTGAACATGATGAACAGGCCCCCAAAAATATACAATTTAAACAATAAATTTGTCAATCTAATGGGTATTTATAAGGATAGCCTATTCTTATATGAAGCGTCTGCTTAAGTTAAATAAGAAGGGTCTCTGTTCACTGTCCTGTCTTAATTCCTGTGCATTTGGGCTGCTGTTCTATTCTTTTGGTTTCTTTGCCAAACATTCAAAACTCAACATTTTTTACCTTATGTGAGCCAATCAGCTTCTGTTGCCTGTGTTTTAAATCTCAGTGCTGTTCTACATTTTTGTTTCCAGATTCTCATTCATGTCCCATTTGCTCCATATCTCCACCTCATTCTGGTCATTCAGAGAGCTTCTTTCAAGTCTATGTCTGCTTTATTTTCACCATCACCAGCATATGGACTCTAGGGGTACTGTCCTACCTTCTACCATATCAGCTTTGCTATGTTCCTTTATAGGAGTCAAATCACCAAATAGCTTGTTACTCAGATTCAATAAATTCAATTTTATTTTTTCTAATAATCAATCCTCAGTCAATTATTAATTTACATACCTAACATTGTATTTTTTAATTTTCTAAATTTTTTGTATAAAAAAACAACACCTCAGACAGCACTTTAGATGAGTGGGCTACTCTAAAAAATGTTAGAGTGTTCTTGTGCAGAAGTGACTATTACAAATATGACTATTGTGAGTCCTTCTAATCTCTTTCAACAATTAGGCTGGTATATAAATGACCAAAAAGAAAAAAACTCACCTCAGGGTAGGACCACTCAGGCGAGTAGTCAGTGACCATGAAAAGACGGCCTGTAGCCTGAAGCATCCCCAGAGCACCCTGGGCTACAGCTGCAGAAACCACCTCTGCTACATTCATGTAGGACAATGAGCCGGTCTCTCCTGTGCCTCCTCCTGCACTGGCCCCTCCACTTAAAGACTGGGGGCTGCAGCAGGGTTGGAGGCAGAGCTCTGAGGGGCTGTAACCAGAGCCCCTGGCTCCTCCATCTTCCTGGCCCTGCTGTGGGGGCCCACCAGCTGTGGTCTGGTTATCTGAGTTGTGAGATGTGACAAGCTGGTGAGCATATAAGGTCCCTCCAGCTGACATGGCTGTTCCACTACCATCCACAGAGATGAAGTCATTAATCAGGTCAGAAAACTGGTTTCCAAAAGAGATGTCAAAGTGATCCAGACTTATCTCCATGCCTGTCCCTCCAGCTCCTCCGTTACTGGCTGCTCCACCCAGACCCTGGTGGGTTCCTACAGCATTGTAGAGTCCCTGCACCATGCCCGTGCCTTGGAGAAGAGGCTGCAGCTGCTGTTGCTGTTGGGGGTGGTTGTTGCTATCACTGGCGTTGTTTCCATTATGAATTGCTACCCCTTCACCCGCACCTCCTGTCCCTCCATCGCCGCCATCTGAAGCTTGCTGCAGGTAACGTTCTGTTCCTCCTCTCTCTCCATTTCCTGCCCCACATCCCTGGATGTGATCACCAGCTTTGAGCAGATTTTCAGCTCCATTCTCGGTGGCTCCAGTCTGACCTGAATTCACATTCCCAGGTTGCTCTAGACCAACCACCTCCTCGTGCTCAGTGCCCAGCCCAGGAAAGGCCCCCTGGTATTGTAGCAGCTGGAGAGAGCCAGCCTGGCCAGGCCCTTCTGTGGGTGAGCCTCCATTGCAGTTGGTTCTGTGCTGGGTCTGATGGGTCTGATGGGTCTGATGGTGGTGATGAAGGTGGCCATTACTGCCAGGTGAGTCTGTTTTTACAACTTGTAACCCCATATAAGCTCCAGAGTCATGGGAGTTGTGCTCCATCAAATGTGTTTTCTGGCCCATGCTGGGCCTCCCCTGCTGAGTCTGGCTGGTCTGAGATGCATCCTGGAGGAAGAAGCTGGGGGAACGATTCTGATGTTGCATGTGAGAACTGGACATGGCTTGACCATAGCTCACTGTGGTAGTGCTGGACGTATAGTCTTGCTTGGCATCGATGGCACTGAAATCCATTTGCTCCAAGGTAGTGCTGGGACTCAAACCACCTCCAGATGGAAGCAGGGAGCCTGTGGCTGTCAGACTGAGGCTGCCCTGACCTGAACCAGCACCAGATGACACAGATACGCCACTCCCACAGTTCACTACTGCCCCCACCTGGTAGCCACTCTCCTTGGCCAGCTGCTGCTCAAATGATGTATCTTCTGTTTTGATGTTCTTTATGAGAGCTGAGTTGAAAGTGTAGGTATTATCTGGCATGGTGGGGGAGCGTTGTAGACTGCCATTGGTGCTAGCACTGCCACCAGAGGAAGACGAGGTGGAGGAGGAGTTTCCCTCTGTCTTCATTGCGCTGCCTCCATAGGTCTGGCCTTGTTTGGGGTTGTTCAGGAAGCAGTCGGGATCAAAGTTCATATTAGTTTCTGGGATCTTGATGGTTCCCGAGTCCAGACTGCTGGAGAGCACCAGTTCCTCAGACACCCCAGCTGTAGACAACATGGAAAGACTGTCTCCTGCAGTGGTAGTCCCAGGTTCTCCTACACCGCCACTGGGGAAAGCAAATTTGTGACGATCAGAGGTCACAGACAGCACCAGGCCCTGTGAAGTGGCATCTGCACCCATGAGGTGAGTATTTGGACCCCCAGTAGGAGACATGCTGTAGACAGGGTCTCCAGGGACCTCAGACATAAAGACACTCTGAGACAGGCCAGACATGACAGAGGCCACATGACTCATCCCTGTCACCACAGGGCTATCAGCCATGTCCGGATCGCTGTTGAGGCCGCTGCTGATAGAGACAGGTGAGTTCTGAGTGGTGTCGGGGACCTCAACCTGGTTTGTAGATGACACCTCTGTGCTGTTCTGGTGTAGCAGGACAGGCTTGTGGACTTTTCCATTGCGTTTCTCCCTGGTGCTACCCCCTCCAGTCCCTCCCCCAGAGCTTTTTCCTCCACCATGGGCACTGTGCTCTGTTTTCCCCTCAGACACATCGTTGTTCTGTACCTCTGAGTGGGCACTGCTGTATCCCCCTGAGCGGGGGTCCACTTTTGGGGAGATAATGCGGTGTTTGGCACTGTTGCATTTGTGGTGCACACTGCTTCCTGCACCTATACAAGGGCAAACAGAGCAAAAGAGGTTTGGGATTTAGCTGTGTGAGGGAGTAAAACAGGCAAATTTATTCTATTGATTTCCAAGTGCTTAAAAATTAGGCAAATCTACTATTCAATGAACTGAGGCAAAGATGGATTATTAGTTTGTTTTTGTATTTATAATTTTGTGCAACATAATCTTCTTCATGTGATAAATCCTCTCATAGGCATAAGGCGATGTAAGTGTATGGGACGCTCTGCACGCCTTGTTATCTTAAAAATAACAATGGAAGTGGGGGTTACTTAGAGTAATTTGTTCTCTAAATTAGAAAACCTTCACTCTCTACATTCTTTTTCTGATTAAAAAAGTCAGTGAAATAACACAGCTGAAAATATGCTATTGAGATTAGCATAAAATTTGAAAAGCGCAAGGCTATTTCAGATATGCCCCTGACACAGATATTAGGAACTTTAAAAGATAATAGGGCCCTACATTTGATTTCACTATTAAATCACCAACCCATAAAAGAACAACCTTCTCTGATTTACAACGTACTAAACATTATCTTTATGTCCTCTCGCTGAATTTTTGAGTTCTCTCTTTTATAGAATAAACTCCTTCCCACCCACTAGCCCTTACCCAGGGTGCCCGTGCAGAGGCAGTTGTGAGTCCGGGGAGGTGGCTTAGTTTGGTGGCTGTCCAGAATCTGTTGCACTAGCTGCTCCACTGAGAAGCCAGAGCTGCTGTTCCCATTGCTGCAAGTCCACTTGATGCCATGAACTGCCGGGAGAGAGGAGGAGACAGAGATGTCAGCCAGCCCAACAGACCACCAGCCACGCCAACCCCCCGCCCCACCCACTGCCCTCTACCTACTAGAACACCTCATGCTGGTCACCTCTCCCAAAAAAAGTTTCCACATAAAAACAGTTAGTATTTCTGGTTTTCCCTAAAGATAAAACAATCCACGGACTCAGACAGACTAGTTTCAATAAAGAATCTAAATGGCAGTACCTTTGATTATCTGTTCAGTCTCTATCATTTCTTCCCCATTAGACTGAAACAGCTCTAAATTTCCCCCCTTACCCTAAACCCCCTGTTTCCTTTCTTAGTGCAGCATTGATCGGTTGCTTTCCCCTCGTATCACTTCAACATAATGTCAAGCCTTTTGTATTGGACTGCTTGTTTTTGTTGTGCTTCTTTTTCTCCTATATGTCGGTGCCCGCTGCTACTCCATGGCGTCTCCTCTGTGAGTGCTGATGAAGGTGACAGCAAGCTCAATCTTTCCACTCGCCACCCTTACCCTGACCTATGACTCTGTTCTGACGGGAAAAGCTTCTGGGAAAGAACATCACCAATCTGCTGCTGCCGGATCGGCTGCTGCACCAAGGGAAAAAGGGAGGTTTTCTCCTGTAAGGCTCCACTCGCTTGCCTCAGTCACACCTCACTAGCACCTCCTAATACTTTTCATCGCTCCACTTGTCAAGCAGCCACCACTTCTGATGAGACAGATAGTGGTTTCAGTGGCTGTAAGGTGGTAGGAGACATCACTGAGTGCTGCAGAGCTCAGGCTCTCAACTGGGGAAAAAGGTAATATTTCAGAAGTGAGGCATATTTAGACTATCAAACAAAATCAAGCCAGCTTTAATTCAAGTTCTCTACACTCTAGTACCTCCTTTGGTTAAATATGCAAGTGAGATACATAAAGAGAATGAGGTTCAGAGCATGTATGAAAAAAGCTGAGGATTTGCTTAGTGCATGTCTGTTTGCACTTGAGATAAAAGGAGATGGAAACAGCGTAAGAGGGTAATGGAGATTAAAGACAGAGCTAGTTAAATTGAAGTGAAAAAAGCTGGGAAACATGATTGCATGACTGTGATAAGGATCAAACTTGAAAGCTCTACATTCCTTTGGTAGATTACAGGCTGGTCACCAGCAGATGTCAGCAGAGCTGTAGTGATCAAGCTAAGATCATACGCTCCACTGAAAACTAACTGTGGCAGGTTATAGAAACATGAATAGGATTCAGTTTGATGTATAATAAAGTCAGATTTATTCAGCCATTAATCTACTGTGGGTGAGCTAAAAAAAAAAAGAGAGAAAAAAGGAAAAAAAGCAGATAACAAATGTGAGGGGCAAGTTTCAGCTAACGTTATTACAATTATTGCACAAATTGTGTTTGGAGGTTAAACCACTTTAACCTCTTGACTTTGTATTATGTAAATATACAAAATAGTACTAATGAAATGATGCTAATAAAGATAACAAGGCAAAATGGTGTCGTGAACTTCCGTCCATAGCAAAGCAACATGGAAGCTTCAGGACAGACGAATGTCTGTGCTGATGATCAAACTCAGAGAGGGTGACAGAGCAAGAGTGAGAGCGTAATGCAACAACTTACATCCACCATGCAGCGCCATGCCTATCCTATTTGTCCAAACAATCTTGTTTCCCCTCTGCCCTGATCCCTCATGCCAGATTGCCACAGCCCTGTTCATCTAGACGGGTGTCACCCCTGAAGGCTCTGAGTTGTTGACGTACAGTTACCACCGTGTCTGCCTGTCTGCTCTTCTCACTGAGGGTTATATTATAAAGCAGACATGACAGGAGCACTGCCACTAGGTTTAATCCCAGTGGAAGCAACAGCCCAGGCACCAAACGGCGACCTATTCATATGATCATTCTGATGATTGGATCCTGTCATGAGCAGCATCATACAGGCCTAATGACAAAAGCAGTTGATGCTGGGCATCTCCCACTCGGTTGTCTCTGCACCACTGGACATTATATGGGACAGCAGAGTACAACAGTTTATATGATGGCCAGTGCTGTCTGTCTTGCCTTGGTCTGTTCTACTCTGGCCCTGTCTGTCTAGCCTGGAGACAAGCCTTCTGTCTGTCTGAATGTTTGTTAAAACTGCTCATGCGCTATCTGTCAGCAGGCTTGGGGCATAGCTGCAGAGTGCTGCGTGTTTATTGCATTAGACCAAAAGAGTGAATCAAGCTGGCTGCCTTGTCTATGGAACTGTAGCGTGACTGTGTAGCAATGCCCCTCTCTTACCCCCACCCTCAGCCCCCCCCTATCTTCTTGCTACTTCTCTTTCTCATCAAACACCGCGGGGTGTTAAGGATGACGAGGTCAGACAAGGCCATGTTTCACAGGGCTTATATTTGAACTACTGTGTGTGAGCATTCGTGCATGTGAAAGGTTTTGTGACTGAGAGCAAGAATGTGTGTGTGTGTGTTTTTTGTTGTGGAGAGACAGAATAAGCTCAACTGATCCATGAAATCCACATTTTTCCTTTGTTGTTGTTTTTTTGTATCATTAGACATGTCAAATGGTTTGTGCAGTGAAATTTTGTGAAAAGCACAACAAAAAGGGAAGAGCAAGACAAAGGGGGGCAATTATTTTGGAAAAATTGGCATTGATCTGGAAAAAATAACAATTTGATTTAAAACTAAGATTGTGCTGACAAAATTCAGCTTGTGAAATTGGAACCATCATCAGTTTCTAAGAAAGAAAATAAGAACAATTTCCAAACATAAGCCAGACATGAAAACACTGAAATGTGTACTGTGGAAATTTTGCGCTTTGCATTTGATGCTCAAACCCTAAAGTTTAAATTTAGATTTTGTACATTCCTGATAAAGTGAGAAAATAAAATTGTTCAGCTGGTTACCCATGCATTTTGTCCCGATAGTTTCACTATACAACCTAAACGGCACGCATTAGTTCTGCTACGTTCTGTTATATACGAAGGGGGAGTCTTAAAACTACACACACATTTGAACCCAACATCTTGAAACAAACACAACAAAATAGAAAAATGACTATATTTGGGGAGCTAATTTATGATATAAATAAAGCATGATTCACAGAGGCCAACTTCATCACAAGTTTTGGCTTCTGCTCCCTGTGTTGAAATTAAGGTTGCTATCTCACATGGCCACTAGAGGGCAATGTTGCTCTATCATTGAGTTCATGTTGACATGTCTTGTGCTCCAGGAGAAAGAGAGAAGGATGGAGAGGAGAAGAAAGACAGAAAGCAGAGACAGAAAGAAGGAGAGGGATTTTTTTTTTTTGCTCTTTATGTAGCCCCTCGTGTAGCCTGGCAGCTAGAAGGCATCTCACACTCACTCTCTTTGTCCCAACAACTCCCAAAGTTAATGACTTTACGCATTACTGCAAATGGTGCTTGATTTTTACATTAAGCCACAGATGTAATGAATACAGTAGGCTGTTGTTGCTCAGCGACTGTCCTGAGGTAAGGCTTTATGTTAAAATGACCTAAAACTAATGCTGTGATGAGGGTAACAATACAGCCTAGACCCCAGTGATGATGGCCTGGACTGCCTATTCAGTATGCAGCCAGCACGTGTGTGTGTGTGTGTGTGTGTGTGCTTCTAAAGCTGCTGACACCTTCCTCTTTACCTAGCCACATCACCAATAATTGGCCATTGGAATATCAGTCACAGCTCTGCTGGCCCCTGCCAGATACGCCCGAATTAGAGTGTGGTTGTTAAAGGTATCTTAACAGCTCTCTGAAAGATTTTCAATGCCCCCACAAGGTCCCCTTTTGGCTATTATCATCAGCAGACAAACCCTGATTTTTTTTTTTTCCCAAAACATTGCCTCGATCTTTGAGCAGGTCGAGAGACTCATAAAAACACATAATGCAACTCACAGAGCATTAGTAAAGCTGATTAACAACAGAGATCAATCCACTGAGGGGGGAGAGAGACAGAAAGAGCCAGATAAGGGGTGAAGGGGGATTTCTGGTGAGTCAGACATTCTTGCTCCCACGCACTAAAATGAATCAATAACCAGCTTGCTGCCCTCCTCTGCTTTGACTTCCTTCATGGACCAGAGGGGAGATGTACTCTCTCAGTCTGGCCGGAGTGGTGCCAGAGGTCTAGGGGAAGAGCTGAACTTTGACCTCCAAGTAAGAGACAGCTCCAGGAAGAGCACAAGCACTGATTTAAAATTGCAGGAATACTAGCCAAAGATGTTCTCTGACTGAGGTGCTGAGGGCACTTAGTGTACCAGCTATAAGATAATAGGACTGGAACATAAATAATCAGGCAAAAACAGGTGCCAGTAGTCTTTCCATGCATGCACATGCAGGTGTGCATAGAGACTATTAAGGCCTAATTTGCTGTTACAGCCTCTGCTCATATTAAAGGCTATGAATAAAAGCTAATGCATGCATAGCCCAAAACAGTATTACTCAAGTTCTCACACATGGACTACTGTTGTTCATTTTGAGATTAATGGACACAAAAAGCTGCCCAATGAGGCTGCTCTTCTGCATGACATGATTAAAAAGTTATTTCCTTGTTTGTAAAGAAGTCATTTTAAATTTTAAAAGTGTGCGTGTTTCCGTCAAACAAGCTGCCCTGCTTCAAAATCCCTCAACTCACACATGGGTTTGAGCTGGCCGATCAGTTCCTCCTTGGTCCACTTGGCCCACTCTTTCTTGTCTGTATTGATGGAACACAGAATAGGTCCACATGGTTTCCCACAATCCTCGATCGCTGGAACATTCAAATAGTGGACGAGCACAATATCAGGGTTCTGTGGGGAAATCAGAGGGAGCAGGATGGTTACACAAATGCAAGAAATAAAAGCTTGATTTGCAAAGATGAAGACTAGAAACAAGTCAATTTATCTGCAAGGACAGTTAGAAGATTTGTTGAAGTGAGATATTCAGTCCTTCTAAAAAAGTGAGTATTCTTTTGAAATAAGTGGTAAAAAAAAATTCAGCTCAAGCATTGTATTGAGTCAAATAAACTCAAAACCAGCTTGTCAATTTTTCTTACACTCTTTATTTAATTCTTAATTTTAGTGAAAAATTCTCAAAACCAAAGCTACCAAACAAGATAATAATACACAATCTCACATTCACAACTTCAGCAGTTTTACAAAGAGCTTCTCATTCAGTCTTCTCATTCACACACACACACACACACACACACACACACACACACACACACACACACACACACACACACACACACACACACAAATATATATATATATTTCTGTACATGAGAGGGAATCGGGCCTGTCTCATAAATGACAGATATTCAGCATAGTGCAGGAAAAAATTGAGACTTTGGGGATTGATAGTACACATCATGTAAACTGTAACAAGTGCTAAACAAGTCCTCGATAATCACCAGTGGTGGGACAGCACCTGTCTTTGGACTTTCAAAGCAAATAGGCTGGTCCCTGTCATTTTTTTTAAAAACATCAGCTTCATCAGACTAATCTCACACAGACAGCATGTTAACAATTTCAAAATCAGTTTGTGTTTTGCCAACAAATAGACCCGATTATGCAATTGCACTTAAAAACAGAAATGAATAATGATAGTTGATAAGGTTCGATAGGGTAGAGTGTTAATAATGATTATTAAAATGAGTTGTTACTGCTTTGAAAAAACAAACGTGTGAATGTGTTTATGTTGATAAAACACACATATTTGTAATAATTTCACTTAACAAATCCAGTGTGATTACTGGGCAGTCTTGAAACAAGTTAGCACAGCTAATAACAGTCTTGACGGACACAAGAGGGCTTCAAACATCCACATACTGTGTGATGTGCATGCAACGCAACCAGCTTCTATAATTACCTTTATAGTGTACAATTTGTTAAGATAAAAAAAGACCCATATTTACATAATCTTCTGAACATTCTTACATATTTTTCTGTTCTTGCATAATATATTATTCTCAAAATAGATCAATTAGACATACAATCACAAGGCTTGGTTAGATTAGGATTTTTTTGCAGTGCATAGTGGATAATCTGTTCCATGGTTTCTTAAGGATATAATGGAGTGATAGTGACACATGCAGTACTCGTAGCTACTGTGTCTCAGATGAGAGGGCTTTTATGTGGAACAAGCCAGCTGGTTGGTGAGAAGTAAATGTTGCTGAATTAGAAACCCTGCATGGTATCCCTCACACAGACAACAAAGCCCAAGAACAGAAGAGGAAATGCACAATCCAAAACATAGCCAGGCAGCAGAACAAATCTGGGATCAGAAATCTGCAATAATCTCACTCATTATGTGACTGTATCTCTGCATCTCCAAATGTGTGATTGGATGCATATACTAGTGCGTGTGCTCATTAATGTGTGTATTTGTACGTGCATATGTGTGTTAATTACAATGTGTGCTTGTGTAACACACGTATGGCATTTTGTCAAGTCCTCCCACATGGTGAGATGATGCCCTCAATTAACTCTGCCTGTATTTACCAAGTCAAAACTCAATAATTTTCCGCCTGCAAATTGTTACTGGGTTACCTCTGCAAATTCTCTAAATTGACAGCTTATGAATAATAGGTAGCGTTTAAAGGAATGTTGTGCAGGTGTGAATAACATCCATTCACTTCTGTATTCATAAAAAGCTTTGATTACCCAGCTCTCACAAGGAATGTTCTTATTTCAGTCTTTATCATTTCTGTTTCACTGTCAACATCTGATTGCCACTAAAACCAACAAAGACAAACAAGGTAAAATATCCCCATACTGACACATACACCTGACCCATACACAGCCAAATGTGCAAACACACATATGGGTACAACCACAGGAAGAGATGCTCTCATTACATGGTCTCTGGGTATGCTTGTTAATCTTTTCTGAATGTTTGGCCTTGGAGTGTTCCTGTTGGTTGAAAGAAACAGAAGGAGATTTATTTGTCTTTTACAGAAGTAAATCAAACAAAATCACACTTACATGTGTGCATGCAATTGCAGCTAAATAAGATGCAAGAATGGACAAACCGACTGAGACCTTGATCGAGAAAAATGCTGTGACAACACGTGCGTGACTGCAGTTTGAGGCTTCATCAGTACTAAGTGGCAAATAAATCAAGGTGCTGCTACTGTAGGTCTGTGCTCCCTCTCACTGTGAACCATTAATCTGTGACTATGCCCCCCTCCATCCCCAACCACAATCTCTTCCACCGCCTCCCACCGTCCCTCTGATTTTCCTTTTACATCAGGCAGGGGTGTGGTTGGAGGGACACACAGATACACAGAACCAGTTACTTCTGTGAAAACGTCCCAACATGCGAACAACTACCATCTCTGATGTGTTTGGGCACTCACGGTTCAGCAGTACATAATGCAATCTATGGAAGACAGATGACCTTCCCTCACCACTAGCAGCAGAAGCTGGATCTAGACATTGCTTTGTGTTATCGTACTGCTTTCCTTGTCCCCTGTCATTGGCATGGACACTAGGTGATGACTGCTGCCCTGTTTGGATGGAGATGGCACAGGCGGTGTGCAATGCCCCCAGATGGCATCACCAGCTGTGTCAATAGCCAAGAGATGCCCTCAATCTTTACTTGGAATGAAAGCGCAGAATGTAGACAGCTTCATTCAATTACGAGCGTACATAAATGTATGTGGATCTATGGGCACAGTCGGGAGTGAATGTGCACAGAAATAGAGCACATGTATAAGTGTGCGCAAACACACAAGCGCACACGAAAACAGACTGAGCAAGGACAAACTAATTAGCATAGTGTAACAGACACACATGTACTCACAAGACACATAAGGCTTAGTTGAACACAATCATACACGTGGATACGCACAATCTCCTTCCTCCAACGCCCACACTCCCAGCTGTTTCCTACCTTTTCACACATAGCAACACAAATATGCACACACACGTATAACACGATCAACACAAAGGAAGAGACCATGAGGTAGTCTTATAGCTCATCCAAATATAAGTAATCTTTATGTTCGCGTTTTACTATTAGGAATTTGCTACATATTGTAAACCAAGAAGAGAGCCAGAGGCATATAACGTCTGGAACTTTCACTCTTTTTTCAGTCTTGTTTTACTTCTTTCTCTCCTCTTACTTTAGAACATATTTAACAGTTCTCTCTCAACTCAGGCCTACCTCCACTCAAAGAGGAAAACAACACAATGAAAGTGTAAAGCGTCACATAAATCTATCAGGATGGTAATTTAATTTAATTTCCTGCTGGCTGCTTTCTTTTTCCACAGTGTAATATCAGTGAGTTGGTTTTCCAAGTGTAGGGGGAAAAGGCTGAGGGTGACTTTTTTGCCTGGATAGTCTTTTTCAGAGAAAATGAGATCTCATTAACTTATTGATTAATTGTGTAATGTAGTCTTTGGTTGTTTTTTCCCTCTTATTTCTCATGCAAGTCTCAAGGCAGAGCTCCAGCCTCCGCTCTGCAGCGGTGGGGAAGACTAGAACAGAGTTACAGGAACCTGTGGTGTGCATTTGCATGTGCAAACATTTTAGGCATTTTAGACAACACCGCCATGGATGAACCGGATTCATTGTAAACAACTAGAGACAGGCAACTAGAAAACAGATTCCTACATCAGATGTATTGACCTCACAGAGTTCTGTCCTGAAGATCATTAAATTAGTCTGGGATTATATAAGGGAAGACAGAAAAAGTAAAACAGACTAAAAAGGGGCTGCTCGGGTCAGGTTAGGTCGGAGGATTGATTACATAATGTGCACGCAGCACACTTTCATGCACACTCTGAATGGAAGCACGGAGAACTGGCCAGTAAAGAGACAGACGGGCAGTAAAAACTTAATGGTTTTTTTGACAGTTCCACCCATGCAGTGGCTCACTGGGATTTGTCCTTGTATGCCCGTTGACCAATACGCAACTGTGTATTTGTATATTATTATATTCTTACATGAGCCGGACATTGCTTGTCAGCATCTGTGCCAATCACTCATATGTATTAATCCATGAATTTATCATGTATGCATAAAATATAACATGTGTAGCTAGTATTTTGATGATGCTGTGTTGTGTTAATGTTTACTGCGCCTCCCTAGAACAGATGGATAGATGTTGAGCTAATTACTAGAGGAGTCTTGGGGAGTCAGCCATGGGGGCGGAAGGCCTGCTGTGTGGGTGGTGGAGCTCCTTCCTGCCCCTCCTTTCACCGATCTCTCTCAAAAACACAGTGAAAAACACCAACATACAACGGAATGAATGCACATATAAAATAATACAGTCACGCACACACAGACAATTACAGTCTAATATACAACGCACGAGACAAGCATGAAAAAGGTGTAGTGCCAACACTCACGCGCACACACATGCATATGCAAGACATCGCCATCGCAACCAAAGGATAAAGGTGCTGTTGTAGCCAGGCAACAGGTTTCTCTGGCACCCACGCACTTAGAGGCAGCCAGTGCTCCTACGATCTCTCAGTGAATGCCTACCTCCTCCTGAAGTCATACACCCTGCTCTACTCCAAAAAACAAGGAGGGAGAGAAAGGGAGAGAGATTCGCTGATGGAGCTGAAGACGGAGTTAGATGTTGGTGGAGACAGATACAATGACCTTCTACTTTGTGCTGAATGTATAATAGTGAATGTGCGTGTATAACTGCACAGAGATATAACGAACTGAGACTCGAGCACAAATTACATCTGTTGGTAAAATCTGGTGTGAGTGGTCAAGTGATGTGTCGGCTGTCTCGTTAAGTCTCTGTGACCTTGCCACAAGTGTGCCACTCTCTTGGAGTTCTTCCATG